CTGTGCCAGCTGCCGGATCATGACGCCATTTACAGAATGATACAGAAATAGAGAAAGGAAAAAAGCACCTCTCCAGCTTATCTGCAATGGCCCCTGCTCTGAGGATGAAACCATCACCCTCCCACCCAGCCCGTGCCTTGATGAGTCCCCCAAGGGAAGAACAAGGTTTTGCTGCCAACACAAAGCCACAGTGGGAAGCGACTTTCCTGCAAACAACGGAGTGTATCAGGCCCAGTTGGGAAAGACTGGAGCATCCTGACCTGCCACCGCTCAGCACCCTCCCAGCTGACAGGGGACGGGCTCCCGGTCTGTCCCCTTGGGACGTTTTATCTTAAACAAACACCCCCTTCAAGTCCCCATGTTCCAGTTAAAGTTTAATAAAAGCAGATTCAACTGGGAGTGGAAAATAAATAGGCTAAACTCAGCTCCCATGAGCTCTAACAGTGGGCAGGGAGATAAGGGGCACTTGGCTGAAACTTCAGGTTAGTGCGAGCTTTCCAGCATGGGGATTTATCACTGGGGTTGAAGAAGTCATTTTGGTTTGTGGTTTTGTCTTCAAACACTTACTCTGCCAAATTTGTGTCTTCAAACACTTACTCTGCCAAATTTGCTCCCCAGTATGATGGGGTGGCCAAGCGGGGTGGGGGCTGAGGCTTCTGAGCCTCCCACAAGGCTCTATTTGATACTAGACAGCAAGGTCCAGGCTTTCGTGGGTCTCTGTGGTGTGACACATCCAAGCTGCCCACCTCGTCCTAGGGATCCTCGCCCATCGATTGGTATTTGCTTGTTCGCAGGCAGCAAGAGTGAAGCCTGTGCCAGCTGCCGGATCATGACGCCATTTACAGAATGATACAGAAATAGAGAAAGGAAAAAAGCACCTCTCCAGCTTATCTGCAATGGCCCCTGCTCTGAGGATGAAACCATCACCCTCCCACCCAGCCCGTGCCTTGATGAGTCCCCCAAGGGAAGAACAAGGTTTTGCTGCCAACACAAAGCCACAGTGGGAAGCGACTTTCCTGCAAACAACGGAGTGTATCAGGCCCAGTTGGGAAAGACTGGAGCATCCTGACCTGCCACCGCTCAGCACCCTCCCAGCTGACAGGGGACGGGCTCCCGGTCTGTCCCCTTGGGACGTTTTATCTTAAACAAACACCCCCTTCAAGTCCCCATGTTCCAGTTAAAGTTTAATAAAAGCAGATTCAACTGGGAGTGGAAAATAAATAGGCTAAACTCAGCTCCCATGAGCTCTAACAGTGGGCAGGGAGATAAGGGGCACTTGGCTGAAACTTCAGGTTAGTGCGAGCTTTCCAGCATGGGGATTTATCACTGGGGTTGAAGAAGTCATTTTGGTTTGTGGTTTTGTCTTCAAACACTTACTCTGCCAAATTTGTGTCTTCAAACACTTACTCTGCCAAATTTGCTCCCCAGTATGATGGGGTGGCCAAGCGGGGTGGGGGCTGAGGCTTCTGAGCCTCCCACCCTCGTCTCTGCTGTACCGCACCGGGAGCAGCCCTGGGTGGCTGCAGGGACCCTGGAGCCAGCACCCATCTCAGCAGGGTTTGACAAACCCCTGTTGCTGCCCCAAAGTAATGGTCAGTGCTAAGGAAGCCACGAGAGCTGGTAGCACACCCAGACCCTGGCACATCCCCCCAGCAAAAAACCAGAGAAATGGGGCTCCAGCCCCAAACCCCTGGGAATCAGAGACACCCCCCCCAGCCTGTCACCATCTGTGTCGGGGGATTCACCGGCAGCCAGAGCAGAAGGGGAGGCGAGGGAAGGGTGTTAAACCCCGCAGGAGCCTTGGAGGAAGCAAACGGGCAGGCAGAGAGGGCTCAGCCCCAGTTTGGGTCCGTGGCCCCTTCCCTGGTCTGAGCATTGCTCACAGCTCCGCGCTCAGCTCTTAGCAGGGGGTGCAAAGTGCTCAACTGTGAGACTGTCCAGAATGGCGCTGGCTGCCATGATCCCTCTTAATTAACGTGTTGTAAAGACATTCCTTACCAAAAATGGCCAAGGAGCATGCGGAACCACTCCCCAGCGCTGCGCAGCCTCGGACATGACTGGGACCCTCGAGGTCAGCCCAGAAGGGGCAAGCGGCTCCCCCGCAGGAAGGGGTGGCGCTGGACAACGGCGTGCCCCGGCCGCTCCCAAGGGGGGCTTGCCTGCCACAGCAGCTTCTCAGCAGGGCCAGCAGCCCGTCCACCTCCCCACGTTCATTCCCTGTGCAGGGGAGAGGTAGGCAGTGAGGGAAGAGTTAAAGCCAGGGCGAGTGGAAATCTGGATTTAGGAAACAGGGACCAGGTGGCTCTGCTTTCCCTTCAACTCAGAGAAAATGAGGGTCTTTGGCTCCCACCTAAGAGCCATACAGCCAGGAGCAGCAGAAGCTGTCTCTTCCCCCAGGTACTCACCACCTCCAGCTCCTCCTCGCTGCACAGTTGCCGCTGAACCAGGTCCTCAGCCCCCAGAAGCCTCTTGCCCCTCTTTCTTCCTCCAGATGTGGCCACAGCATCCTCGGGGTAGAAAACAACCCAGCCAACTTCTGTTGCTGGTAATGGAGAGAGATACCATCTCTGAGCTGAGCTGGACCAGCTCCTCACCAGCCCCAGACTGGTAGAGCTTTCCTGGGGGAACGGGCTGACAGCAAAGCCCAGAAATGTCTCTTTCAGTGCAGGCCATGCAGAGGAATTCCCAAACGCTCCAGAGAACAGGGTGCAGCCCCATCCCAGACCCTAAGGGATCTCATTCTTTGGGCTCTGGTTAGCTCAAGAGCATCAGCACAGGGAGGGTACCAGCTCCCACACTAAAGCTCAGATGCCGCAGAAAGGCTGCAGGCAAAGCTCCCCCTTCCCTCCCCTGGCTTTGCCTGGAGCCATTCCAGGTGAATCTCCTCACCTGAGGATCAGCTGCAATCAAACACATTCTACAGCCTCAGCCTCTCCTGGAGAAAGCAATTCCGTTCGGATTGCTGCTGTGGCAGAAACAGATCCAGAAAGCTAGAATCCAGCTCCTTCTGGTGAAATGCCAGCATGTGCATCCAGCAGGCTTGACACCACATATAGTGCAAGCCAGCAGCGCTTTGCGTGCGCTCCGAAACACTCTTGACCAGTGCCTGCCAGCCTTCAGAGGCTCTTGGAGCTGGGAGAGGACAAAAAATGGCTGGCACTGAAGTCTCAGGTTTTCTCAAGCATTTGAGATCCCAGAGCAGGAGGGAAGGTCACTGCTGGGGAAGGCTCTTAGGTCAGTACTGTGAGCCTGCACGGCCAGACACATTAAACACAGCAAAGTGGTCCAGCTCTGGGCGGGACAAGCCTGTCAAATCTGCTATTTTTCAGGCATTTGCTACACCACTGAGAGCAGGTAGTGTTTCAGACCATGCTTGGATCCAGGCTGAGGAGGAAGAGGAGGTCAGGGGTTCAGAAAGGCCAGGAGGTACGTGGCAAACAGCTGGCTGTGGAGGCAGCAGCCCAGGCAAGCGGCTGGGTCTGCCACAGCAGGACCTGCATTCTCATCCAGGCTCTAACACCCAACTGCCCTGTGACCTGGGGCGAGATGGGTCATCACCCATCTGCCCTTTGCCACGTGGCCTCTCTCACCCACAGGCAGCGTAACTGCCTGGGGCAGACCCTTCCCAGGGTGTGCAACCCCAACTTCCCTGGGGAAACAGCCCACCTCCTGGCTGTGACACTCACCGGGCAGAGCAGGCTCCCCTGCTAGGAGAAGAAAAGGCAGGGCTGGTGGCTGCACAACAGCAGAAGGGTTAAAACGCAGCTCCCCAGCTTTCTGCCATCCGTTCTCACTCCCCGGTTCCATGCTGAGGGCTGCCTTGCCCTCTCCACCTCCCCGTGCTGTGTTTGCAGTGCCCTGCAGTGACACAACGGCTCTTCCACTGCTGGGCTAGACACCAGCATACATTCACTCCTGTAAACACGGGCTCAGGTGAATAATAGATTTGCTCCAAATTGCAAAGTAGCAGCTGCTGTGAGTGCTCCTAGCTCTATGGAAACCCTGTATTTCAAGTGTTACCACGGGCAAATAATGGAGAAGGTCCCACAACAGAGCAAGCAGCAGGAGGGAGTGAGGTGGGAGCAGGAGATGCCTGGCCAGGCACCTGACCACAGAACCAACGCACGTGCTCCAGAGCTCTGAACAGCCTTGGTGTGAAGACAGCAGAATCCTGCTCCTGTATCAAAGCCTGCCAGTATCGCTCCAAGGAACACAGGAGAGTAACACTTGTTTCTCATGTGATGCCCACGGGTTAAATGAAGGGAACAAACTTGGCTAATTGCGGGAGAGATGCATCAGATTTAACAAGACAGAAAATGAGGAAAAACAGGGACGGGAAGAAGGTGCTCTGCAGAAATCAGTATGGGAACACTTCTACACATGCTCTGCCTCAGGTCAGTGGGGACCAGCAACCAGTCAGGATGGCATGGAGCTCCCTCTGGTTCTCACCGCTGTCCTGACTCCAGCCTGCCATCACCCTGTCTACCATCGCCTCGCGCAGGACAGAGAACCACTGCGGGGACAGCTCACAAAACTCTGGGGTAAAGAGTCCCCTGGACGTGACTGCAGACCTGCCAGGCACCACCATGGCCAGGCACCACCACACCACAGAACTGGCATCTCAGCCCAGCACTGAACTAAACAACAGCTAAGAGTAACAATGTGAAAATCCTTTGGGATCCTCCAGAACCAAGATCCCCCAAACCCATGAAAAACCTATGAAAACCCATCAGGGAAGCAGGCAGCACCACTTAGAGCTTACAGCCTCCTGGCCTTAACAGAGGGACTGTACCCATAAGGTGGGGTTTTTTGTTGGTTTGTTTTTGTGGATTTTTTTTTTTTGTTTTGGGGTTTTTTGTTTTTGTGGGTGTCCCCCCACCACGTCTGCTGCATATCAACACATTAACATTTATACCCAGGCCTGAAGATGCGCAAACATAAGAGCCCACATAGCAGCCTTTGCTCCAGATCCAAGGAATAAGGCAAAGGCAGCCAGGAGGTAGTGTTTCCACAGGTTTATAAATCTGATAAATACAAGTATAACACCCTGCCCACCACAATGGGGCAGGGGAGAAGGGAAGGGAGTCCCAAGGTTGCCCAGGGAGTGCCGACTTGTACTTGGCAGCTGCAGAGTACACAACAGCTGGAGATTTATGCCGATGTGTCAAAGAGCTTCTCGATCATCTCCCCCACCTGGTCGACCTGGTATTTGATGTACTTCTCAGGGTTCTTGGTGAAGGGCACGTTGCCATATCTGCAGAGGAAGACAACCCCTGAGTGACAAACGACAAACAGAGCAGAGACACCCACGGGCCCCTCCTCTGTCACAAATCAGCTCCACTCCAGCACACTCCCCTTCAATCTGACGCGGCGTCTCGTAGGGAGCAAGTGACCTGGCTACAACTGGTGTGCCGAGTTTTATACGAATAGCCCAGGGTGGCTCAGAGCTTTGCGCTAGCTAGAACATCTGCACTCACCCTGCCCAAGGAATCAGGGTGACAGCAGATGTCTGCAACCAGCAGAGTTCAGCTTGGGGATGTTTTAGCGTGCAAGGTAGAGAAGCTAAGACAGGACAGTAGAAAAGTGCCTCAGCTCAGGCTACTCTAGGCCCCAAGGACCTCAGTAAATCCAAAGAAGAGAGGACAATGTTGCAAGAGGTCGTCACCTGCTCAAGAAGGCACCATAGGTGTCTTTCACAATGGTTTTCTGTGCCCGGCGGATTTTGTCACGTTGCTCCACATCTGGGATTGCCCAGGCCTTCTGGATCTTACATAGCTCCTCCAGCCCGTCATTAAAACCCTGTCCAAAGTAAAGCTCAGTGAGTGTACTGTCTGCCATCACGTCTCCACACGGAGTTTGATGTTCTTCCCCTCCACTGCTGATCATCAACAGACAGGTCTCCTTCCTAGGCAGATCTTTGGTCTGGCTGTCTGTCACAATCAACCAGGGGATGTCCTTACGCCATCTAACACCTCCTTACCTTAAAGCGCTCCTTTATCATCTGCCTCTCCTTATCCTTGAGCTGCAACAAGGAGGGAAAGGATTTTATTTATTTCATCTACAGAAATAAATTTCCAACATCAGTGTTTGCCCAGAACTCCCATCCAACCTAGGTAATATCCTGCCTACTTGGCTTGAATTCCCTCTCCTAAAGCAGGGAGGGGAGAAAGCTGCAGTAAGCAGCACATCCTACATTCAGCAATTGCCTTTCATCTAAAGTAGGTTTAACGAGGGTAATTTTCAGCCAGAACAGACATAAAAATAGACTTTTTTATGCTGCCAGTTCTTTCTAAGGGGATGTCTCAGGGTTTTGCAAACCCAAAAAGAAGCTTCTGCTCAGGTAAAAATACGATAGCAGGCAGAGATTAGAAGACTCGTATGAATCTGGGGCAGGGGAGATCAGAAGGGAGTGCTGCTCTCCATCTTGTCCCAGCCACAGTATTCACTCTGCAGAGCAATACTGGCATGAGATGTAAAGAAGGTTTCTGGGAATTATTTAATACGACAAGGGAGAAGATGTTTCCTTTGCATCCTTGCCTGTCCTCTCACCTTCACTCCTGGCTGAAAGACTGGCAGGTTTCTATCCAAGATGTAATCCATCACCTTCAACCAGCTGCATTTGAAATGAGATAGGAGGGAGGCAAAGAAAAGGAGTTACTCATGTCTCACCAGAACATCTATGTCTTCACCCATGACCCAAAGGCCACCCCAGACAATTCACACCCTAAAACTTTCCACAGTGACCCCTTGCCAGGTTAGATGAATCACTTGGAAACCAAAATACTTGGCTTTGGTTTTAGACAAACTTCTGTTCTAGGTTAATCTCTCCCACTGCTCCAGCAGCACTGGCTCCCAAGGAGCTCTCAGACTGAAAAAACTAACAGAAGAGTGGAGGATGTCACCTGACCTGCGCTGGTAGGTCTGGATCTGCTGTTCAATGAGCTCCCGGTAAGACCTCTCAGCTGTCTTCTGCGTCACTGCTACCAACTGGATCAGCTCAGACCTGAAAGGAGAACAGAAAACCTGAGGAAGCACATGAGCCAGCTGCTCTCAGGGCTGCTAGCAGGGTGGCAACATTTCAAGCCCCTATCAACAAGATCTTTTTTGCTCTTTACAATAAACAGGACCTTGAAATGCACACACTGGGAGACAAACGGTACTCCAAGTTACTTTCCAAAGCCATGTCCTCAGTCCTCCCAAAGGATTCACTACAACCTAAGGCATCTCTGATGCTTTTATCTTCCACTCTCGTGTTGTGATGTTTATAACAGTGCAAAGGTTTCAAAAGGGCAGTTTCAAGAATGGAAAAAAGAGCAGAGATGAGACAGGCCAGCGAGCGAATGCACTCAGTACAAAGACCTGCTCCAAAACCATGCTTAGAATCAGCCTGGGCTTCAGAGAGACTTACCCAGATATGCACTTACTTTTCCAGAGATTTCAGAATGTAGTTGTAGTTGTTGTGCAGAAAAATGGCACTCAAAGCTGGGTCTTCATAAACCTTGGATTTACTAAGAAGGTTAAGCTGCAAGTTGCCCAGCACTTTGCCTTAAAGAGGGGAAAAATAGAGGACAAAAGTTTTGCACGGAAACTTCTCATTACTGACAATCCAAACCGAGCACTCTGTACTGTTGCTGTGAGCCCACAGCAGAGTGAACAGCACAGCCCCAACTGCATGTACAGACAAGGGTATGATCACATGTACTTAACAATCCTACAAGCCTTAGGCAGATCTTTCCTCAGAACGTCACCAAAACCTCCCTGTGAACTAATGCCTTTGCTGCAACTGGCAGTACAGTTGCATTCTGTGTTCAGAATATGTCCCAAGATGAGCATGGGCGGTCAGACTCAGCCTGACCATGGCACAGCCTCAGATGTCAAAGAAGCAGATGGACTTGATCCCCATTGTAACCCAAGGTAGTACTGTGAACTTGCCTCACTACCTTACTGTTAAATGCAGGATCGAGCCCCTTTGGCAGCTGGGAGCCTCTGTGGTGTTGAAGGTGCAAAGCATGGGGTGAGAATGGTTTGAGGCAACCGATGACAAAAGCTCTGCAGCACAGCAAGCTGCTGCACTGTGCTTTGTCCTGCCTAACTGTAACAGTCTGAAACTCCCAGCTTGACCCTTTTATCCAGACTCGGACTCACACACAGAAAGGTCACAAGGAGTAAGAGACACAGCCTGTGCTCTTCACCCAAGAATGAGCTAAGTGAATGACAACCAATGGGGCAGCTCTGAACTGTAGCTACTAGCTGAAGAGCTGGTCTCTGAAAAGAAAAGTCTTAGGCCAGATAACACGCCATGGGGAAGGGGGGTATGTGTGGTCAGCCTGCCTCTATTCAAACAAGCCTCGTCCCTGTTGCTATGGAATTAGTGCAGAGCTCCCGTCGACAGTGAAATTAGCTCCCTGCTTCAGTGCTGACTGTCAGCAACTTATCCAGGGTGAGGGTGGAAGAGCTCTGTACCCCTCAATCCTTGTATCTGCATCAAGTGCTAGCACCCCAGCAGAAATCTCTTCTTTCCTTCCTAGTGCTCAGAGGACATCCTCCTCTTGATCAGAAATAGAGTTATTAAACACATCCTCCCCATCCTTCCCCCACCACCATAAAAAGGGTTTGTAAACACCAGAAATTGGCAATCAGAGAACAACTGAGCTGAAGCTGTTAACAGCAGGCACACAACAGTAATTGAAACAAGCAGAAGGGCTCTGGAAAGTTTCAGCCATCCCCATGGCTGCCGATAGGGCCTGCCTGGCTGCGCACAAGGGACTGTTCCAGCACGGGAACCTGCCCTCACAAGCAATGACTGTGGGCTGGCACATATTCCTCTGTCTGTGCATAAGAGATGGCTTTCTGCCCTCAAGGGCTTGTGGGCACAGGTCCCATGGCACGCGTGGGGTAGCTATCTCCTCCTCCCCCCACCAGAGAGCTTGGCAGCCAGGCCTAGCTCGGGTGGTCCAAGTTCATAAGCACCCCATGGGAAAGGCCTCAAGGCTCCTGTTGCCATGAGTTGGACAATAAGGAACTGAGTGCACACGGGATAAAGCACGATACCAGCTGGGCCAAAGAGACTCAGTGCCATGAGAGTGTCATTAGCCTGTTTCAGCTCATGTGGCATCCCTCATTGTCTGCTGGTGACAAGCCCTCCCTATTCTCTCCAGCCCACTGGCAAGAGTTACTTACCCTCCCCTTTTTCCCTTTTCAATTATGTGTTAATTTATTTACCACTCCTGGAGGATAAAAAATTAAAATACATCACCAGAGTCCGAGGCATTATGAACAGGTACGTGTGGGTAAGTCTGCTTACCTCTGGGATCTAAAGGAATATTGTATGTGTCCCCAAGAACTACAACGATTAGGCAGAGCAGAGAGAAAAGGGGAGGGAGGAGAGAGAAAAAGAAATGCAAAGTGCAAAAAGACAGGTTAGAGACCACCATCCCTTTGAGAACAAAGCAGATATTAACACAGAGCAGTCACAGGCAGCTACACAGGAAAGCAGGCAGGAGTCCCTCCAAGGCCACAAACAGATCTGGAGATCACAGAGGAAAGGCAGAGTCTAACCCTCCCCTGCTAGAGACACTGTTTGTACTTAGCAAGATACCTCACTCCAAATCAGTTCAAACCCACTTTCAAACAAAAGGAAAGCTTCCCCTCATGCCAGCAGCAGTTTACTGGTCCTTGAAATGACCTCCACAGCCCATATAACCTTCCCACGAACCTGAGTGAAGCCATCCTGCCCTCACTCTGCACTTCAGCATCCCTGCACAGCTATACAGGGCCCTACAGAGCCATTTAGTGGGCAAGACCAAGGGATTAGCATCACTGCATTTCACTGATCAACTTTGCTTTTGCTGCCACTTGAGGCAAATGTCACAGAAAAAACTGCATGTACTTCCCACCACTTGGGATCACTGTGGGAGCTATCTAACCCAGTTCCAGCCACCCACACCTGAGCTAGCAACTGGAAGCTGTCATTAGAGAGCCATCACCGGGGACAAGTCACCTTCCCAAAGCAGACATCTCTGTTCGCAAAAGCAACTCCCGCCTGAAACTTGCTTGCTCTAGGGTGATGTCAGGTCCACAGCTGGACAGTGACCACAACTTCACCAATATTCAGTAACCAGCATCAGTCATCCCGTGTTAGGTCAGGCCTAGCTTTTGGAGCAAGTGACAGAGCTGTTTCTGCATGAGAACAACATTGGCAGAGAGAGGAGGACATCTGGCAGCAGACAGTCCCTACAGCCTGATCGCAGATAGAGAGAAGAGGATTTACAATACTCAGATTGCAGGTCATGTCCTGCATGGCTCTGAGGTACTACACCTCAGCCCAAGTTACCAGATCCGTTACAAATACACTGACTTCAGGCTTTAATAATTGAACAGACTGCAAAGAGGCATTTTTCTCAAGCTGTCTTCACACAGAAGACCTCTATAGTCCCTCTGTATCTGACGGGACAACAAGCCACAATTAGAAAATGGCTTATGTGTCATAGATATGGTCACATTTTGTTTTATGACCAATATAAAAAATAAAAAAAGCCTATGCTACCTTTTGAATCAGCTCCTATGACAGATGTCTACCACATGACAACATGTCAAGACTTTGAAACAACAGTGCTGACATCACCATTCAGGGAAGGATGTGGGAAACAGCTGGTTTCTCCAAGAATAAACTCAGACCACCTCTTTGGCCAAGGAGAGAGAGTCAAGCCCTGGGAGGCTCAGCACACCGAGGTTGCAAGTGGAGAGGGCACAAGGCATTGGCTAGAGGAGATGCGGCCAGAAGCAGAGACATCCTAGCTTGAGTTGATTTAGAACTGGCAGAATTTTCCAAGCAGGAATTGCAGACAAAAGTCTGGAGGCAGCTGTAAGCTTCTCCCCTCCTCTGCCCCTAATGGGCTCCCTAACCCTCTCCAAACAGCACGCAGTGGCCTGTGCCTCCTCAGGTATGCCCCCTGAATCTCCAGTTCTCCACCTCTCCAGCCTGCTCTATTCCAACTTGAAGCATGAGCTCTGCCAAGGCCGAGGGCTCACTAGAGAGCTGAGAGCTGCTGCTCTGCACAGAACCAAGAATCATGCTCTAGCTGATACGCAGGCAGCATCCTGTTACATGAGGCAGCAGCTCTCAGCTTCTGTTCTATATATTTCTTTCTGGAATCAGTCTCTTTAGCATCCTGGAGAGCAGAGATAAAACTTGTCTCTCTGTTAGGGCACGTGGCACACGAACAGCTCAGGAGTCCCAGCCTGACCATGGCTGGTTGCTGTGGAGAATATTATTGCTGCCGCTGCTATGCTCTGACCAGAGGATGTGGCAGAGAAAGGGGGCGATTCATCGACACACAGCCTAATTAAAGCCAACTCAGCTGGACCAACCACCCTCACTCCAGTACGGTCACAGAGGACCAGCCCAGTGAAGCTAAACGACAAAGGCATCCTCTCTTGATACCACAGAGCACATCAGCAATAAAGACCACCTCAAGAGTACCTGATAGGAGCAAGTGTAGAAGGTCAGCAGGGAAACTCTCTGCATCCCTTGGAGTTCTCCAGATAACCAACTACGTGGCCATGGCAGATCAGAGGACAAGACAAACCACAGGGTGAAGGACAGGAGGAGAACAAGCTCACAGTGCATGTTGAGGTTTGATCTTTTTAGGGAAGATGTCCAGACAATTTGGGGAAGGAACTGCATGCCCAAACAAGCCCCACGCATGTATGTACCTTGCGATGCCAGCATGGCACCCGCTGTCTCCTGGAAATCCAACAATTGCTGTAGAAAAAGGATGGCCTGGAAGCAAGGGAGGGAAATTATGAGCAACCGACACTGCATCTCCTATGCTCTGCTATTAAGGATCATGAAGGACCACTTGTCCTCCCACGCTTAAATGCCTTTAAGAAACAAATTACAGCTTAGCAAGCGCAACTAGCTAATCCCTCCACGAAAGCCAGTTAATAGCCTTTCCAATACCAAGGCATCTTAACTTAAAAAATTTCCCTAATGCTCTTTTTAAAACCTCTTCAGAACCTGTTTTTCACAAAAGATGGTTCAAATCATCGTCACATACATTGCTGGTGAGTTCATGAACTGTTCCATCTTTTGGCATGTTATATTCCTTGTCTGGATCATTCTAAGGAGGGAAAAGAGAGAGAGAGAATGTAAGCATCTCAGGAAATTGAAGGCATCTACAATATAACTGCTGCTGAAAGTGAGCTGTAGGCTTGTTTATCCAGCTTCTCTCAACATCCTCAGACCCAGCTCTTACAGGGCAATCTCCTAGTACTCAGAAATCACAGCTCCCATGCAACCAGCAGCTCAGAACCACAAGACTTTGTACAGCATGTGACCATCAAACATCAAGCTCACCCACTAGACAATGCATTCACCAAGCCCGCCTTACACAGAGACAGTTTTGCCTGAGTCCTCCAAAATTTTTCAGGTCAGCCATTTTTCTTTCTTTTTAAATAGGATTAAATTCCAAGATTGACTTGGTATCTGCAGAGGCCTGGAAGCTTATGTCACATTATTTGTAGTATGCCTGTTAAGGGTCTTCGGCAGAGGACTCCTGTATTTGAAATCAGCACCAAAAGTTTGGTATTTGCAGCTGACCATCCAAGGCGATTCAGCAAGCTCCTCCTTTAGTCAGAAACTACATGGTCTCACGGAAAGCTGAAAGCTAAACTAGGGGTTCTGCTCAGAAAAACCCTCTTCCAAGCCTGCTGGTCTTGTCTGAGAGAACATTGAGGAGAATCCTACCTTAATGTTGTCTGCAAACTCTTCCAGTGCCTTCGCACCAGTGGTCTCCATGGAAGTGATCAGCCCTGGCAGTTTGTTCTTAGTGCCTGCTGCAGTTCCCTGGAATAGTTCCATAATGAATCAGAGAAGGAAAACAAACAGTATCTGAACTTTCATTCAGCACCTACCCTCCTTGATCCCCCAAACCACCATCTCATTCTCAGTTCCTCATGTTCCAGGAGAATATGTACAGCACCATCAAGAATGTGTGAAATCCTGCATTCTTCAGCCAGCCAGGAAGGAAAGATGTTGTGACCTTCACGGTGACCAGGACTTGCTACCTTTCATGTTTCCTCTTATGCAGTACCTGATACAGGAGGTTGGTGCATCACAGTCACCAGCTGGAAGCAGATGGAAAGGAGCCTTGCTAAACCTGGATGTTGTATTTGATACCTGGAGAACCCTGTGGCACGGTCCAAGCAGGCTCTCCTCAGAGCAGCCCATATTCCAGATATCAGTGAGCAGAGCCTAAACTAAGCTCAACAGTATCAGAGATGAAACACCTCAGAGGCCATACGTACAGCAGAATGATGTAGACAGTCCATTACTGGGTCATGACTTCAACTGAAAAGAACTGCTTGAGAGATGCTGAGTTGCTGGTTCATCATCATAGAAAGGAGCAAGCTGCATTTGTCTCACTTCTAGTCCATACTGGAGGACAGAACCTCCATGACTGTTCAAAGCCACTGTGATCATCCTTTCAAAAGGTCCTCCAGAGAGCCCAAGCCACAGGACCCTCTCCAAGCCCATCATGCTTACCTGCAAGACCTGGTCAAATTCTGGCTTCATCTGCTTGAGATGCTTAAGGATGGGGAAGATTGTGAGCACAGCTGAATAGTCATGTCGGATGATGGCTTTCCGTGCAGCTGAGACAATGTTATCCCCCTCCACGATCAAGTTATCTAAGGACTCCTGCAACAAAGCCAGAGAGTCAGAAGGAAGCAGCATGACTTTTGCCCAGGCAGCACAAGGAGCTCAATCCAGGATACCCATTAAGGATACCAATTTAGCTGATGGGTCATTTGCAGTACCCAGTGAGTGACTCTGAGCACACGTTTTCCAGGGCCTGTGTAGGCCTCGGTTCCCTGCACAAGACCTGGTGGACAATGCTAGCAGTGGTGGTGCTCTCGGGCAGCCACAGCAGGTGATGGAATCCACATCCTCACAATGAAGAGGAAAGGAAAAGGACTATGTGTGTATCCTTCACAAGAGAAGCTAAGCAGAGAGGCTCAACTGACCTGGATGAGAGAATCAAAGGTCTTCTTCTGGTGGTGCTCTGGGACGATTTCTGTCAGGAGCTGGTATTCGCTCTGGGCCAGTTTGACAAAGGCACTAACGCAGTGAATGTACGCGTCAATCTCGATGTCGAAGACGTCATCCCTCCCTGTAAGGGCAAGACGGCTTTCAGAGAGAACAAAATTCGCACTGAGCTTCCAGCAGCTCTGCTCACTCCATGGCCTTGGTTTACACAAGGAGCACAAGGTTGTTCTGGAAAAGGCAGTTCTGGCTTTGCACCCATCCTCTCATGAGAACAAGAGTTGTCATCTCACCAAACCTGCCCCCTGGGTTTGTGCATGGGAAGCTACGCATACCCTGCAGGAGGCATGCAAAGTCATCTGCAGTTCAGGAAATAGGCACATCAGGACACCAGCTCTTTCCGGCCTCCTGACAGAAGGCAAGTCTGGAGCTCTTCTGGGATACACACTAAATTTAATCAAGGGCTTGAACACAGAGTACTAAACTCAGGAGGTGAATTATTCAACATCTCTGCTTGTATTTTTAGAATTCCTTATCTCCATCCATCATGCAGATGAAGAACTGCCATTTTGCATCAACATTTCTGGGAAATCAAGGCTGTCCTGGAAGGGAGCCTCTTCCCACAGGCAGAAACAGAAGATAAAAAGCCAGGTAGATGAACATTTAAATCCTACGAAACAGGAATATCAGCACAGCTAGGTGAGCTATCTGCCACACAATGCTGCACATAAATGCCAATATTCAAGTCCTAGCATACACATCTCGGACAAAGATCCGGCAAAGAACTTACACAGTAGGCATGAGAAATGCTGGTATGATACAAGGGCCCAGACCAACTCACACCAACCACTAACTGGATGTGTTAGCAGAACAGAGACAAATGGACTTACACCATCCTGCACTACTCAGACCCCTGCAGCAACCATTGCAAGACATCAAGATTACACAGAGAGGCCTTCTCCAAGCTATAGGCTGCTGCTGCTTCCCTCCTCCCAGCAACATCTGTAACTTTTGATGGAGAAAGAACCAATTCTTCCCTACACTGAGAGTCCCTCATGTTGATCTTTTAAAAGTGATGGTCAGCAGGGGACACACAAACGTGATGTGGTTTTACAGACTGCCTATGGTGGTGAGTGGCCCACTGTATTGCATGCCACATGTGATCCCTTTCCTGTTTGCTTCACTTCAGCACCAAACAAGCCAGTAGCTACCTACAGGAAAGTGCCCCTCAGCATGGTGACCACCAGTCTTTGGTTGGACAAATTTGGGATTCCCTGACTGGGGGCTTGGGATGTGTGTGATTAGTAGGAGTGCATTCTACCAAGAAGAGCCAGAGCTTCTTAGCCAGTGCAGGCCCATGCTCCAGGGCTGCCCACACAGATGAACAGCCACTGGCTACAAAACTACCGTGAAACATGCTGAAAAGAAGGGATGTTAGCCAGCTTGTTATGAAGTGACAACATGGTACTTACCAGCAGCCGGACCATGCTTGTCACTCAGGGTATCGGAAAGGTGTTTAACTCGTAAATCATGCTCATGACCTAGTGAGATGTCAGCCGGCACAAACAGAAGGCGCAATTTATCCAGGGTGGTTACAGCACAGATGCTCACACTGGCCGGAAGCCGCTTCAAGCTTGGCTTATTTGATGTGATGGATACTTTTTCTCCCTACACAGTCCCAGGAACGCTACCTGACCAAATCCCTTTGTTGGACTATGTAGCGGTAGCAACCCTTTGAAACCTGATGAGAAGTGTGAACTAAGTCATTTCTGGGCCACAAGAGTCCCTTGAACCTCCTGCCATAATTTCTGAATGGGACAGCAGGCACCAGAAGTCCAATTTGTACCCACAGCCACTACAGATCCAAACTCAATGCCCATCTCCTGCTCAGCAGTGAGAATTTTTTTCCACCCAAATGAGTGATGTTAGTTACCATCTGGGATTTTGTAGACTACAGTGTAGGTGCTGAAGAGATCTACTTTAGAAGCATACACAGCAGGAGGCAGAAAGGTCTTACAGATGCTTTGAAGCAAGTGACCTCTTCTCCCTTATCTGGTACAACCTTTATGAGCAGAGGGGATCAGAATATGGAAGACGACCATTTAGGTAGGTCTCCACAGAGAAGATGTACAGGCATGATGCACTGAAATAGATGGGGTCTGACACTTCAGCATCAGGTTTGGAAAGGTCACTAGGAAACCGAATGTCTCAGTCCAGGCAAAAAGAAAAGAGAAGAGAAACACCACAAGCAGATGTCATCAGAGGAGAGCTTCCATTAGCCAGGTGGCTATGGTGGGTCAACTGCTTTAAGATAACATTCCTCTCCACCTGTACTCATGTTTATGGAGACTTCGAAATTCAGACACTAAATTCAGAAAAATAATTTGGCCCTTCAGCATCTTCTTGGTTCGCTAAGGACAGCTGTACCTATCCAATGCTGTCCACCAAGCACTAGGGTAATGGAAGTCCCACCTGGAAAAGCAAGGCTGATACACAGAGAAAGTCAAGGGTGAAGTAGCTAGAGCTGTGATTACCTTCCATAGGAATGAGGTTAGAGGCCCCCTTTTTCCCATCTAGACCATGCTGAGAGTACTGTTTCAGAAGGTTCTGAGCCTTACGGATCGTGCCTGTCACCAAAGCCAGAGAGAAGAGACAAGAAGACCTAGAAAATGAGTGAAAGAAAACAAACCCAGAACACCAGCCCTCCACCAGCAAGTCACCTGGGCCCAGCAAGAGGATCCTGAGCCACAATGAGCATGCTCAGTACAGAAACGTGAACCCCAAACTCATGTCCAAGTCTGCAGATACAATGGCATTTCCAGGCTGTTTCCTTGCGTTGAGCAGGGATGGGCATGAATTCCAGAGCCAAGGTTACAGAATCAGGGAGTGCTCAAAACAGTTTGATGAGGTTGTACAGCTGGGTAAGAAAACTCGATCAGAGAAGGGAAGCAACAAAGCTCCCTCCCCTGTAATGAGTTTATTTAAGATGATACTCTGCATCCAAGCATCCAAGGTTTGTTGCTTTCCCTCAGCTGTAGAATCAGGTCTTTGCAGTACGGACAATTCCTGTCTGGCAACACGTTGCCTGCTCCCCAGAGCCACAATCGCAGCTGCTCGGTTAGAGCTGCAGAAAGAGGTGCCTTTCCGAGGGGTATTTTCTGAGCATGCTCAATATAGACCCATCAGGAGCCCCACAGCCAAGACTAGGAATGATCTCTGGCATTACACGAAGCGATAAAAGGGTGACAACCTCTGGGCTCGAGAGAGAAATTGCAGCAGCAATTCCCATCACAGGAATCACAGAATAATAGATGCTGCCCACCCATGTCTAACTCGCATTAAGTCACTCTAATCCCCAAGACACCTCTTCTAAGGAACTGTAAATCAATTAAAACCATGGAAAAAAAATAACACTGGGTTAAAAGATTTATACTTAACACACACAAAAAACAGACAGAACTGAACAAAAGCCAGTGCTGGATATACAGCCAGAAAGCACAAAACAAAGCATTAATGTGACAACTGAAGACTAAGCACTGTTTCCACATTAAAAGGTTAGTCGTCATGCAACAAGCTACAATTATCACAAGCACACGGACACCCTCTCACAGCAGAGCTTTGCTGTTGCCTGCACAACAGGGAACAGAAAGTTTTGGGAAGGTAGGAGGAGTTTCTACAGGCGACCCAGATGAAGCAGAACCAGGCTAAGTAAATCAAGAAGGATCCAAGAAATAAAAATGCTGCTGCCAAAATTAAAATTGTTCTTCCGCTTTAAAGTAATAAATACTTCAAACATGCAGAAAATCCCTACTTCCACCAGTCACTGTAAGTCACAGTTCAGCCTGGAAATGAGTGCTGGCTGCCCAAATGCTGAGGACTGCTATCCTGAGGGGAAGCTCAAGTACACACTGCTGCAGAACATCATCCTGGGGTGCAGGACAGCTTCATCCCTTAAAGGGATACACGGCAGGGGAAGCAAACTTCAAGCCCCCCAGACAGCGCATCTCTAATGGGGCAAAACAGGAGAGAGAAGTTCCCACTGAATTACCAAATTGGCTTAACCTGGTGCGCTTACTAGATAACAGAACATGGTTCCTCAAGTGTAATGTTTCACTGGCAACATTTTTTTTCTACTAGTTCAGAGTGTTCTCAAGCACTTAGTAAAGAAAAATATCATATCCATAAATACATTCTTCTGGCAGGAAACTTCTCCCCTCTAGACCCACACCAGGGAGGTGGGAAGACTTACACCCTTTCTGTACTGATGCATTTGCTCCTAGCTTCTGCCGTATGATCAAATCAGAGGGCTATGCCTCTTCTTCCAAGCTTCCCAATGCTATTCACACCTAACACTTCCACTTTATTCTTAGCTGCTTTCAGAAACCTCAAGAGCTTGGGCACAACAGGAAGTTCCTCTGAGCAAGCAGGGCTGTAGCAAGCTCTGGAGATAAGCACTAAGCTGCTTCTTACTGCTGTTACCATGGCCCAGCTGATACAGAGCAGCTCAACCCAGGCACTGTTCTTCTACCTGTTCTTTCATCTTTCCCACTTTCAAATATCCAGGAGGAAGGGGGAAAAAATAATAAGAAAAGAGGATAAATTGGTGTGAAAACCAAGCAGACAGTACAACTGCTGCTGCTGTCAACAGGATCTCACTTCAGAGGTATGCAGTGCATGTCTCCAGAGCCCACCCCTGACAGTTTCTTCTCAGATGAGAGCTGAAACGCCTCTGCTGCATTTTATTTGCATAAGCACAATTACCTGTGCTTACACTGACACACACCGAGTGTTCATGGGCATCACTTCAGTGCTGCTGTATCCCTCTCACTTAGCATCGTAATTAGGCTTTAACGGATTCTAGTGGAAGCCAAATGCTTTTGTTCCATGATTGTTTTCCCCTATTAGGCAGGTAGCAAACCAAATGGGACTGTGTTTCAGCTACTAATGAAAACATCACATTCAAGCCAGGCAGTGATCAATACGGGAAGGGGAAGCAGGAACAGGCTCTTTATGCTGCCACACACAGACTCCACAGCCTGCTTCCAGGCAGCACCTCACTGCTAGGTAAACTGGAGCATTAAGTAAACTGGAAAAGGGTTCCCTATAGCTTGAAAAGAACTCCAAAACACCCAAAAGCCAAAAAACACCTGAAACTTTGGCTCCTGTGGCCCAATTGTTAAATAAAGTGGCTTTTGGGCATACAGGAGGCACAGTTTTCCAAATGCACATTGTCCTCCTGTTTCTTTCATTAGGCAGTTTTCTACCCAAGCAGAAGGGCAACACACCCTCTTTCCTTAAGCACCAGCTGCAGGAGTCTGTATAAAACTGGCTAAAGCTCTCTGGGTTTTGCTTGTAGGCAGCCAGGCTGGCTTTCCCCACCTGCATCTTCTGGCTCTATTCTTCCCTGGCAATGCAGAGCTTCTGACCTACCTGCTGCTCTCAGGCCAACAACAGAGCATTGGGTCACAAGGAAGCAGTATTTTATGTGCCTATGTTTGCAGCAGGATGATGTGGGAATCTGAACACACTTGCCCGCTGAGACAGACTGCTGACATTTCAAACCACAAACTACTATAAAAAAAAAGCACCCACAGATTGCTTCAGCAGTTCAACTTGACTTTGCAAGTTTCAGTTAAGAGGAGACAACTCTGCTTTAGAAGCATCCCCAGCAGCCAGATTTTCAACTGCATGCTGTAACAACAGGAGATCGCACAGGGTACACCAACAAACAAAACAGCAACAGAGATGAAGACCCTCTGAAACCACAAATGGATATGGAGCATGTTGTCCAGAATCCAACACAGTACCTGAGAGAGAGCAGGAATCTCTGCCTTGCTACCCTTTCCCTAATACCTCACCTTCCCTTTAGCTATAGCCTCTCTTGCACTTTGCTTTGTGGGTAAGCAAGTTATAGCACATCAGATTTAGCTTGTTATTTATCCCTTGCAACAGGTTAAAGTGTGCACTGGGGTGTGCACTGGGATATTCTTCCTTAAGGACTAAGGAAATCAACTCACTTCTTGCACCCATGAGAAAACCCCTTTGTCTGAAACCCAGATTGGCAGAACTTGACTTTAATTACTGAAGCAATAGCACAGAAAAAAAATATCATTGTCCATAATTGAACAAGGACTAAAAGCAATGGAATTAAACACCAGCAGATGAATATTGCTATAAAGAGGGCCACTGTGCCAGTGCAAAGAGCATGTAAGACCTCCACCTCAAGAGCTGTCCTCAAAAGCTGAAGGAACTGCAAAAAAAGCAGTGAATCTCTGCTCAAAGACTATTTTTTTTCCTCCATTTTTTATTCCAGTTAAGTTGAATTTCGTAGCCATAAGAGATGGCTGGTGTACGAGGTTTAACCACCCCTGTCCTTCAAGAGCTAAAGTCTGGTTCTGTGTTTTTGTTCACGGATGACTGGAGACAAATTAGCCACTACTTTTTCTTAAGATTAACAATACTGCCATAGATCATTTGAAATGCTCTCTCCTTCATACACTGTCAGCTCTGTAAGCACATTCAGACCATGCTCTGTGCCTTCTACCTGGCCCATCTCACAAACTCCAATTAAAGTGGGAAAAAAGAAAATGTCCTGGCAAATCTACAGCGGAGACATTCATCATGACAAGTAATTTTGGATGCCCAAATGCATCCATTTTGGAGGAGGCTTTTTTGTAAGGAACAAATGTTTGTCCTCTCAAATGTGTGGGCTCCTTTGTGTACTCTCTCTGTGAGCATCCTAAACTCATTTAAAAAATCCTAGTGATTTTTTTTTAAATCTGCCCATGAAAAAGAATATCCTCCATCTGTAAGTATTTACCTAGAGCACAGGGAAGATGTTACCATTTGGCAGGGTGCTCAGAAATGTTTGCTGACCATGCTGACTTCACAGCAATCAAAATCCACGGATGTTTTCAGTATCAGGTGATAACTGAGAACTGTGGACCAAATCTGAAGCATCCGCAACTTGAGTCCCCCACGGCTCAACTACAGATCCCCACCTGGCATCTTTCTAGTAGAGAGCTACTGAGCCAGGCAAAAATAACTTCTACCTATTGTAATCATGCTGGCAGGCAGGAGCCACTGTTCAGGAGCTGAACACAAATGACTGCCATCATGCTTAGGAGCAATTTTAAACACTGTTTTCCTGCCATCTGCAGCACAGCTAGTTCTCCTTAGCAGGAGGATATTGTCCTCTACATGTCTCCCAACACTGGGGGCAAATCCTTACCTGCCAAACTCCAGAGGAAAGCCAAGTGTGGGGCAAGACACCCTCTTGTCAGGTGGCTTTCTGCTGACAGGAAAATCCACCGAAATTCACTGACTGCATTCACCAACTGCAGCTTGCACATCAGCTTTCAGGAACAGCTCCAGGGCACAGCAGCAATGGCACAGATTGATTTTAAAAGACCAGAGGGGTGATCTCTGGATGTCATAGCCTTTCCCAGGCAGCCCTCCCTCTCCAAATATCCCAGGCACACCCTCTGCTTTAGCAAGAAGAGGCCCAGCAAAGCCTCTCCACACACAGAAGTGAAGAGAGTGAGCACCAGGGCCAGCACACGCACACAAAGACGCACATTACCTGGGATGAGGACTGCATTCACATCAGGATTATAAAAATAAACACAACACAATTAAAATGGATATTTCTTTTCCTCCCTTTCCCCATCCCATCCATTCCCAGTCCCTACCCACATTTCTTCTTAATTTCATGAACGCAGTAAGAATATTTGGACAACGCAGGAAAAAAATATTAGGATGGGAGAGTACTGGCCAAGTAAACCCACAGAAATATGAACTTTTCTGACATTCATCACTATTACAGAGGAGACAACAGGGTGCTGTGACACACAGAGGGACAATATCACTGTGCTGCCGTGGGAGGCACGTGCTAGCTTTCACTGGCCCTCCTCCTGGCCCTGCTCCCACTAGATGGCACAGATGGGAACTCCAGCTCTGGTACACCGGAGTGACCAGCCTCACCAGCTGCAGAAAATGCAGCAAAACTCCATTATGAGGAGAGGTAGAAAACCCCCCCAGCCACATTCATAGCTCTTCCAAAGACAGGCTGAGGCAAAAGCTTTAACAGCCTTTCCAAAATTCAGACAACTTTGGATCTTGTTTCTGTAGGCACCTACCTAGTCCCCATCTCAACTCCTGATGAGTTCTTGGTTTCCTAGCACAATAATAATTTAGTCATAACTAATGATTAAAGTGATATGTTTTATCAGATCCAAGTTTTCTATTTTGCTGTGGCACCATCTATATTCCATGTTCCAAGGTTGAGGACAGGTGTTCTCAGATCATATCCTTTTATAGCCCTCTCAGGTCTCTTCACTCTTTAGTTACAGCAATGGCCTTTTCTCTGCCTGTACACAGGACCCCCCTCCGCCCTTTACACTGCCCAGAGAACAGACCTGATGACTTGACAGAGACAGAAAATGTCTGTAATCTCAATGCTGAATCCAGAGCAGAGAAGAGGTGCTTATCTCTGAAATCTCAACGCTGCTCCTGTCCTAAAAGCATATTTTAGACACAGAGGCTACCCCAGCAGTGAGAAGGCCTGCAGATATGTGTTCCATACCTGGGCAAGACGACACACAGTACAGTGATCCCCCCCTCCAGGGACTCACCCGGTCTCTTGATTGGCTTCTTGGTGGGGGTGTCCTTCCTTTTGTTCTGAATGGCAGGGGAATACGGCACCCCCGAGGAGGAGCTGTTCTTACGGAAATGGTCTTTCAGCCCCTTGATGGAGCGGTCGAGCTGGACAGAGCGGATTTGGAAGTAAACAGTCATGAAATCTATGGGGACAAGGTAGAAACAAGATTGTAAGGAAACGGGGAACACTATATGGTAAACCAAACCTTTCCTGAAACACTCTGTGCCCCTGAGTGGACTTACAAGCCTTGATACGCTACCCCAAGTAAGTGTTTTTCCCTCCCAGAGATTCTCCTGTTTTCCTCAAAAACTTCCATCTTCCTTCCCCTGCAGTATTCATTCCAGCCCTCTCGCCACACACAATATTAAGTCTGTGCACCACTACCAATAGCACATTAATTGTGGAACTGATGGGAGACATTCACGCAAGACATTGTCAATTCAAGTGCTCAGCTTCTAGCATGAGATACTTTACACACTTCTCCAGATTCAGGGCACTTGGGAACTAAATGAGGTGTTAATCACTTGAAAGCAGAATACAAACTGACTAACAAAATATGCTATATATGCTTGAGTTGCCTTTGATCATGGAGAAATTCTTAAGAAGCTTTTAAGGATGTTCGTCATATTTGGTAAGCACAGTAATCTCCACAGAAGTAAATCATTGAGGTGGGGGTGATTCTAGTAGCTATATGTATGTGAAAGTATAGGTTTCCTGTGACAAGTCCACAAAGTCATCCACTCCCAAAGGAAAAGTTAATAAAGGAGTATAAAGCTGCAGGCAGCTTTTGATGCTGCAGAACAGGAAAGAAGAGACATGTACTGACTGAAGAAAGTCTTCTGTGCTTCCTTCCCCTCGCCCCTGGTCACATTTAAAATAAAAAGTTCTGCTCATAAATAGTTCCCAAATGGGAATAAGTGACCAATGTCTTGCACGTTTATATTATCTGAGCACTAGATAGTTGCAGCTCCATCAGAAGGCATTACAGATGCAAGTTAAAGGGATTTCTGCTATAGGACAGACTATGCATTAAGAAAAGTTTTGCTTTATTTCCGCAGCTCTTTCTCTCATCACATCCACCAGGACATCATTCTGTTCAGCTGACAAACCATCACTTCAGTCTCACTACAAACACTGTAAAAAAAGCAGGATCTTAAGAAGGTGACTGAAAGGAGACGTGCCAGTAAGGCAGTCACTAGTTCTGCCAGTGCGGCTACCAACAGCAGCGTGACTTGTGGTTTATTGGCCACAGTAGCACCAGAGCAGAGGCTCCGTGGCTGAAGGCACGCGATCTACAAGCCAAGCTGTGCAGTGCTACACACAACCCTCAACTCTCAACCACACGTGGTAAGCTTCTGGAGAGCACTCACAGGATACAGAACTAAGAGGGAACAACAGCAGCACTACCAACCTTGATTCCTGCCGTTTTCCACCAGCCAGCCAGAAATGCGGATGATATCATGCAGGACACTCTCCGGGAGGTGCTCCAGAGACATCTCCTCCTGCGTCTCCATTTCATCGTCCCCACTGATCAGGTCCAGGATGAGGATGGGTGGGACCGGCTTGGTGTGTCGCGTCATCAAGCTGCGAAACTCTGATTCCAGGGACTCCTTGCCCCGCTCAAAGAGGGATTTCTGGCACAAAACAGCAGAAGAACAAAAGCAGCACAGGGCTTCTGTAATCAGTCACTCACGAGTATTTCTGCGTAAGAACACACTTTCTGCAGTGTTTCTAAACACTGTCAAATACCGCGTGCTTCAAACTCCAACAACGCCTGTAACTAAGAGACTTTTAAAGCGAATTAAATAAAAAAATGTTTGGGAGTTGCTCAGTCTTCAAGTGGGATTTACACAGATCTCCCATTCTGCTCAAGCAGTTGAAGGACTCACAAGAGGTACTCAGGAGGAGGTTCAATCAACTCCACCACACGTGCAAGATACGCTTTCAGAAGTCCTATTGGCACAACGCATGAAGAGAGAAAAATGCCACAAGCAGAAATGCTGCTGCTGAGAGCAGACTTCAAACAGAAGCCGAAGCAATCGTTTCTTCAGTTGTGCCCAAACACCTTCTTCACCAGGCAGCCAGCCTGTCAGCCTCTCACAGCAAGGGGACAAGCAGCGGGGCTACAGCTGTCCCTCTCTCCCCCATGCCAGGTTCCAGCCCCCTGACCCACCACACGGTTCAGCTCTGGGCTGTCTGGATTGTTGTCCTGGAAGTATTCCACCGCCTTCTGGATTTTGTCCATGCAATTCAAGTATTCCTCCAGCCTCCCAGTGGGACTGCAAATAAAACCAAAAATAAAAAGCAGTGCCTCAAGAAGCAAAGAAAGAAGATATCAACAAAGCACCAGACCAAACTCAGGATAAAAATACAAGGAAAATATCAATTCCCTTTTCTTCAGCTAGGAGCAGATAATGGGATTCCTTTTTGCCTCCACTCAACACCACAGCAGAATACCAAATCCACGCAGCAAGTGCGGAAGTACTGATGACCACGCAGCACACAACTCTCATCCTTGCCTTCCTCTCACAGTCAGGCCCTGATGGGAAGGCAGAGGAAGCTGCACATCCCAATCCAGAGAAGGGCCATCACAACACCCTCCCAGAGACTGAAATCAGGCTCCAGAACATCCTGTATGCAGTGACAACATCAACAGGGCAGGAAGAACCTCTGGGAAAAAAACAGAGGAAAGAAGAGAAGCCACCAATGCTCATGAGCTTCATATGTGCATGTATGCAATATGGAAGAGACACCAGTGCAGAGTCTGAGCAGACTTTGCCCTCTGGGGATTGCTGAAGGTCAAGTTAGGAAGCTTTCTGGTGGACTGATGACAGGGAGTGTGGGAAGGGTACAAGGAACTTTATGGTGAGTGTGCAGAGTCAGCTCCCCTACCTTTATCCCAAAAGTTCAATAGGATGAAGCTCCCAAGAAAGACCTAGTTGGTCAACTCACCCTTCCTTTATGATCTTCTCTGTATCCTTCGCCACATGGTAGTAACTGATGACATGATCCAAGCAGGACAGGGTCTTCTCCACGTTTTCCTGCAAGCGCTGCAGGTTCTCTGTTTGTTTATGGACGGGGATGATCGAGTTCTCCAGCTTCATCAAACGACTTTCAAAGGAGGAGAGGATAGAAACCTACACACCAAAAGACAAACAGAATGCTCAGGACATCCTTCCACATGGATGCATACAGTAGGGTAGTAGTTTGAGCAGGGCAATCAGGGACCTTCAGGTCCCAGCTTCTCATTTTGGGCTCTGCTACTAATTTGCCATGGCTCCTTAGGCAGGCTCTTTAATCCCTCCATGTCCCAATTTCTATTAATAATTAGAACACAGATCACCTGTCATACAGAGATGGGCCAATCTCGAATTAGATATTTGTAAAGCGTGAAAATAACATTCCAGGGCAGTACTAAGGAAGAGCAAAATTTTATCTGACAGTGGGAAACAAATCCACAGGAAATGCCTGGAACTGCCCTAGGTAAAAAAGAACAAAAAAAGCATAAACCGGCAGCCACTTTGCTCCATACCACTATGGCCCAAACACGAGATGCACAACATGAAGGCACAGGACCAGTATAGTTTGAACCTTCTTTTCCATCGTAGATATTTGGTTTTTAAAAAGGACTGTGATATCCCTTCTGAAAGGTGGAAAACCTCATAGACAGTGCCTTAACGTGATCTTTTCCAGGCCAAAACATAATTCTTTCAAGATTCACTCCTATATTATTTTTTCCACAATTCTCTGGTGGTGCCACTATGACTTTCTTAAAACACTGACCCCAAAACTGGACATAGTATACTAGCTGAGGGCTTATAAGCAATTAGAGCACAGTAATTACTTTCTACCGCTTAAACAAAATACTCCCAAAATAAACTCCAATCGAGACCTGACTTTCTGAAGCAACAACGTGATGCTGTTGCACAGACTAGTCTGGGGTCTATTAATACCTTTTTCCGAGAGAGAGGACAGACTGTAAAGAGATGAGGCCAACAGCTCATTTGGGCCCTCACCTCCCCAGGAGAGAAGCTTAGGATTAAAACATCCCCTTTGCCCAGCCACTGACGTGTAAAACACAGATGCTGAGAAAGTGGTTTATTACTCTGCATTCCTCAGATGGGGACGACAACAGCCTTGAAAACAGATTCTCCTAAGAAATAGCAAAGTCAGGCCCAACGTTAAGGCCAAACTTCAAGGACCTCCTTACCATGTTCTTTGTGAGCTGGTCACTCTTCTCAAGGCTCTCTTTGATAAAGGACAAAGTTTCTTCTTCCTGTCAGTAGGTTGAAAAAAGTCTTCAACTCTGAACACTGAGCATTTAATTTACTAAACACTACATGTAGGTTTTCACAAGTCTGGGTGAATACTGCAGCAAACCATGTTTGGTCTGATGCTGAGGTCACATCTTCATCTTCCACCTCTTAACAGAAATCAGGGCAAGTGACCCAAGGTGAGAGACACATAACAGAATGAGTGAGGTTTGTATGGATTACTCATTTCCCTCCGATATCCCGAGCCTCAGCATGCTAAAGTCACAGCACAGTATAATGTTAACACCTTCAGCACAGAAGCACACTGACTCAGACCACAGCACAATACAGGCGTTGCACGGGCACCACTGAAATCCCCCACACAGCCGTGAACTGAGGTGGCCAACGCAAAGCAATCAGCAAGGGCTATTTTCAAGTCACTGAAGCCCAGAGATGGTGGGGATTAGCAGCCTGCAAGGGCTGGCCTCACAGGCTGGACCTAAGGACCTAAAGGGATAGCCCCCAGAAGCTACCAGGCCCTAAGAGGGGGGCAGAGGTACTTCTTAAGCCTGAGAGCAAGGAGGCCTAGGCCCTGACATGGGCCTGGGGATGCTGCCAGGCCCGGAGCAGAGCGATCAGGCAGGGAAGGGGTCCCGGGACGCTCCCCGGACCGGTGGGGGCCTCCATGCCAGCTCCCGGCCCCGTCTGCCAGGCAACGCGCTGGAGCCGCAAG